ATCTCACGTATCTAGACGTGTAACAAGCTACACTTTATGTATATGTATATATATATATATATATATATATATATATATATATATATATATATATATATATATATATATATATATATATATATATATATATATCTATGTGTATATATATATATATATATATATATATATATATATATATATATATATATATATATACAACGTGACACTGTACGTGACTCTGGATAAGCAACATTTTATTTCCATTACAATAAGCAGGTCCTCCCCCCGCCCTTCCACCCATGTAATGTTGTGTAGAGTGTTGGACTTGCAAGGTGTAATGCAACATTGAATAGCGGGGGGAGGGGGGTGAACATGAAATTGTCAATAAAATCAGCAAGGATGTAAATGGTATACTCAGAAATGGAGAGAAGGATTTTGCCATCTTGACTAAATGCGCCAATGATTTTTGACCAGGAGTGTAGTTCGCCTTAAATTGTTAGTATTTCTTTTCTCCCTACACACTGTCACATACAATAACTTACACAATCCGGCAACAAACAGCATGAAGAATGAAAACAATCTCAGCATCTTTAATTTTTGTCTTACCAGCATCTTGATTTAACCTTTGAAAGTTTTAGTAGAGTCGAGTGCAGAATATATATAAATGTCACAGGAAACACTTAAAAATCAATGAATATAAAAATTTAACACGTCATTGAACCAGAAGAGGTCCTTGAAATTTGAAAAGCAAATAACTTAATTCACTTTGGTATCCAGGGATGTAGCAGTTACTGCCAGTTTTATAAGTAAGACAAGACTGCTTAAAGCCACCAAATGTCAAGAACATCTATCATATTCCCAGATGTTACCATCGTGTTTTACCTGTTATTTTCTGCGTTATGCGTACAGGAGAGAGTTGAAGAGGAGTATTTAACATCTGTCAATATAGATTCAGAAAAATGCACTCCACATCATTGCCCTAATTGACGCAATGGCAAAATATCCTCTTCAATTGCTTGAATGGCTCTTACGATATATATTTAGACGATTCAAAAGCTTTTGATACATTTAATCATAGCATTCTTTTGGATAAACTCGATTACTATGGAATTCAAGATTTATCATTAAGTTGTGTGAAAGGCTTTAACCTAACTTGGATATGTATTCAAAATGTGTTGTTATTGCACCATTTGCCTTATAACTGTTGTCAATATTTGTTAGGAGTGGTGTGCGGGGGTCATCCTAAAAAAATAGAAATGCCCATTTCAACAAAAACAGACTGTTGGTAGTGAACATAGGTTAAATGTGAGGTAGTTACGAGTAACAAGGTAGTCGTGTGTTGGATACATAGAACAACTAGGAAGTCCTGCATGGGAATGATCCACCGGAAAAGTTTGAATTCTAGAAGTCCAATGTCCATTTCCATATTTTCTGTGTTGGTGTGATACATGTGAATAAGAATACAATCAGAGTAACACCACAAGCATGTTTATTTATTTATTTATTTATTTATTTATTTATTTATTTATTTATTTATTTATTTATTTATTTATTTATTTATTTATTTATTTATTTATTTATTCATTTATTTATTTATTTATTTATTTATTTATTTATTTATTTATTAACTTCAGCCGTCAACAGAAATATAAACACATACAAAGAGGAAGACGGTTCTGGAACACCAACACAGCGTGAGCCAATTACGTTAGTGACCTGTTACAAAATATCATTATACAAAACTTCTACATATATATACTATACATATATATATATATATATATATATATATATATATATATATATATATATATATATATATATATATATATATATATATATATATATATATATATATATATATATATATATATATATATATATATATAGATTCAGTATATTCGTCGATAAAATAAGACGAAAATGGCGAAAAAAGCCAACTCGACATCGGATAAAATGAAGTATACTACACTGAATAATTGCCAAAATAACTAGTTCAATTACGAACAACATTTCATTGTTGCAGTAAGCTGCCTGGCTTTATGGCACTTCAGACAAACTGATTTCCACGTCTGCGGATTTTCCTGGTCAAACACGGTTAATGTTGCGGAGTGGTAATAGTTAATAACACGTGACTTAAAGTTCTGAAATGATAGTTCTGCTTTCCGTAGCTCATCTGGTAGGCAGTTTCACACAAGAGATATTCGTACAAGATAACTGTTCTGATGACATAGCGTTCTGACTGTAGGAATGTTATATTTTACAAGAGAGTTATTAATAAGAAGAGCGTACAGATTTATGGTTGACGTCAGAGTGTCAACTACTTCGGGTAGGATATCGGTTTTAACCAAGCCATGTTTGCATTTGAAGAGGAACAGGGTATCAAGATATTCGTGCCTGTAACAGAGAGGTAGCATCTCCAACCCAGCGAGTTTCGTTTTGTATGGCATGTCCGTTTGGAATGGTAAAGACAGTACGAATTTGGTCGCTCTACGTTGTATGCGTTCGAGCTCCATACACATGGCGATAGTCTGTGGACACCACATCTTGTGATGCATAAGTAAGATGGGATCTCACAAGTGTAAGGTCAAGACAGCGTCGGATATTTACGTTTTTAACCTTGATAGTCGAACGTTTGAGCATACCAAGCAGGCGGTTGGCTTTCGTAACTTGCCCGTAAATATGAGTGCTACATCTGTGATCTGAACAAACTCTCACACCGAGGTCTTTCTGAGAGGAAACATGCTGCAAAGTTTTACCGTTGACAATGTATTCAGCAACAAGAGGATGACGTTTTCTCGTAATGCTCAGAACTTTGCATTTTTCGGCGTTGAATTTGAGCCTCCAAAACTCAGACCATTTCTCCACGTTTCTCGCTTCAGCTTGAAGGACACAGGCGTCAACTGGTGATTCAACAACTGAGATGCATTTTGTGTCGTCGGCAAACAGGGAAACGTCAACAGCAGGTGAGGTTATTGATTTGGAAAGGTCATTTATGTACATGAGAAACAGGAGTGGTCCGAGTATTGATCCTTGCGGAACGCCGGAGGAAACTGAACGTGTCTCTGAAATCTCACCATTGACTAGTACACGCTGTTGTCGTCCGGATAAATAACTTTTAAACCACGTTAAAATATTGTCCGTAAGTCCAAATCGTTGGAGTTTCTTTAAAAGAAGGTTATGATTCACCGCGCCAAACGCTTTAGCAACATCGAAATACAAGATATCTGTTTTTTTCCCTGAATCCAGGTTTTGACTGATGCGGTGAAGAACGGAAATGAGCTGACCTGTGGAAGACTTTCCTTTCAGAAAACCATGCTGTGCAACGGATATCATGTTCTCTATATGACCAATCAGACGGTTGTAAACACAACGTTCTAAAACTTTCACAATAACGCACATGAGAGAAATTGGTCTGTACTTCTCAACAAAATTCTTGATTCCTTTATTATGAAGAGGGATGATGTTGGACAGTTTCCATTCTGATGGTAGGGAGGCCTGCATGCTTTAAGGATTTGCTGAGGAGACATGTTAATGATGGTGTGATGGAGTGCGCACATTCTTTTAGTAAGCGGATTGGTATATTATCTGGACCAGATGCTTTACTAGGATCGAGGCAATGAAGAACGTCATATACTTCACTAATTGGGTCTAAAATAATGTCAGAAATAGTCTCTTCACATACATATGTAGTGGGGATTGAAATATCATCACCTTCTGTTAGAAATACTGAGTGGGAGTAGTCATTGAACATTTCTGCAGCTTGTTTTTGACTAGTGGAATCTAAGCGTGGGGAGTCTTCGTTGCCTGTCGCGACGGAAACTTGCTGTGGAATACGGCTGGATTTAGTGGTTGTTTTAAAAAATGACCAGAACAATTTCGTATTGGATGGTAGAGCTTCGTTTAGGGAACCAAGAACTTTTCCCGACTTTCTTTGATTGATCTCTTAGATGTACGGTGGAGATTCTTGTATTTCTGTACAAGTGCAGCAAAATTTGTTCCGCGACGGATTTTTTGCCTTAGTGTTTCTTTCTTTTTGATCATTGACTTAATCTCACCAGTGAACCATGTTATGTTATATTCTATTGCATTTGGTCTGAATATGATAAATTATGAAGATCTCATTAGGGATAAAAGTATAATTTTCCTTTTCCAAATAAGTATATATTAATCCAATAGAATTTCAGGGTTTGAAATCCAAGTGAGAATATATACATTTTAAGACCTAACCAGGAACGACTGCGAAAAATGCAGCACAAGGTCCTCTGGTAGGAATTGAACCTACGGCCCTGCGATTATTAATCCAATAGCTTTACGCTTCCAATAGTTTAAAGGGTACGCATGTTCACTCTTTCCGATTGAACATTTCAGTATATATAAAGAGCGTTTCTATACACGCCATCCTCGACTATATCGTATATTGCTATTCATTAAGTTAAATCTTTTAACGTCGATTACCATGATGTACATCTCTTCCAATATGAAAATATGCGGAAATTTTTTTTTCGTTTCAAGTGATATATCCCACAAAGCAAGCCCTGTTCATATAAATCCGCGTATGGAAATGACTCACTTATTTATAAATATTATTTGAATGCCGGAATCCCGTCAAATTAGGGTTCAATTTTCTACTACTGTACTGTACTTTGTTTTGTTTTGCTTTGCATTGCTTTGCTTTGCTTTGCTTTGCTTTGCTTTGCTTTGCTTTGCTTTGCTTTGCTTTGCTTTGCTTCGCTTTGCTTTGCCATGTTTTGCTATGCAATTTGCTTTGCTTCGCCGTGCATTGCTTTATTTTGCTTTGCTTTGCTTTGCTTTCGTCAGTGCTAGATTTTAATATTAGCACTTGACATGTTAATTTCTTGCAGTGGATTGCAGTTCATTTCTTTGCCTTTTTAAATTTCAAGCACCTTTTGTGACTCGCTCAAGTAGCTACATCCGTAATTTTTATTAGAGGTTTTCTTAAGTGTAAATTTATACATATTATACAACTAGCGGTCGCCGTTAATTTAATACATTCTGTTGTCGGATTCTATACACTCTTGGAAAGATTTCAAAAACGTTAGGAAGAGGTTGAGAAGATAAAAAATGAATAGGCTAAAACTGTTTTCGTTTTTCCTGCTGTTTATTACCACTTCGGGTAAGTTCATAGCTATATTTGCAATATGTTTTAGTAGCTAATAACTGTATTAATTCTGGGAGAATTTTATACTACAACAAGAAGATATAAGTGTCTCTGTGAAGACCCAAGTGCAATTAATGATTTTCGTGATGGTTGGGGGAAGCAGGAAATCAAAATAACAAAAATCCAATATGACGGCGAAATTTTTCTTGTATAATTAAAATACTAACAAACGTGGACAATTTAATTAACTAAATTGTGGCACAAGAATGAGTATAGAAAACATAGTATGCCAAAAAGAGCCTGTGGAAAATACTTGGAAACAGCTGAAAGAAATAATGTCACCGTGATGCAGCGAAATGTGACCATGTACATGTAATACAATTTATAAAGATTTTTTACTTTAAAATAATTATGTTGTTTGAAATAATAATGTTGTTTGTTTATGTTGTTTGTTTGTTTGTGATGTTTCCACAAACAAACTATAATATCATGACTTTTTCTGTGTTGGTGTAATGTACTCATGTGAATATGATGCTTGTGACGGTACTCTCAGTGTATATCCACACCGGGCAAGCTCGAAAAATATGCCTGCCCACGGTGGGAATCGAACCTACGTCCTTTGCAATACTAGCCCAATGCTCTGCCAACTGCGCTACGCGGTACGGTCGGTTCGAGTATGTGATATATCGGAACAGAATCTAGTTCCTTCGATATCAATGTTATCTAATAATAATCATGACTTTTCTGCGCTGGTGTGATGTCCTCAGGTGAACATCATGCTTGTGATGTTACTCTGAGTGTATATCCACACCGGGCAAGCTTGAAAAATATGCCTGACCACGGTGGCAATCGAACCTACGACCCTTGGAATACTAGCCCAATGCTCTGCCAACTGAGCTACGCGGTCTGGTCGGTTCGAGTATGTAATATATCGGAACAGAATCTAGTTCCTTCGATATCAATGTTATCTTATAATAATCATGACTTTTTCTGAGTTGGTGTAATGTACTCAGGTGAATATGATGCTTGTGATGTTACTCTGAGTGTATATCCACACCGATTATTAGTAGATAACATTGATATCGAAGGAACTAGATTCTGTTCCGATATATTACATACTCGAACAGACCAGACCGCGTAGCTCAGTTGCCAGAGCATCGGGCTAGTAATCCAAAGGTCGTAGGTTCGATTCCCACCGTGGTCAGGCATATTTTTCCAGCTTGCCCGGTGTGGATATACACTCAGAGTAACATCACAAGCATCATATTCACCTGAGTACATTACCACGAAATAGAAATAGGGCAGAAGCTTCACTCGAGTCGGAACCTTTGAAGTTTTTGTGCCGGCGCATGTTACTTCTGGATATTGGCCGCCATGTTGAAAGCAACCAACTCTGGTCCAAAACATTATAAACTAATATGGCGAAACTTGTATTTCATAACTTTAAATGGGTATATCGTCGTCATTTTATGGTGGATGTCTTTGAAATTTTCGGGACGTACTAAAGAAAGGTAGATTATTCATTTTATTATAATAAAAGCTTATTGAATGATGCTAAATTTGTCATTTTAAACGCATTGCAAACTGTATGTGCTGTTTTGGCAACGATGGATATATACGCATTATGTTAATTTTCTGAGTGTAGCTTGAAACTGTTGCAACTACTATTCAATTTAGCTTAAAGAAAAATGCGTCATGTCTGGTTTTTAGAACGCAGTAGGTTGAATTCTTTTAATTTTAGGCGCATATTATACTGTGAATATCTTTATAATTGCGGTACCCGTGCAATTTTTGGCACCGCATTATATTGCGGTGCCCAAAGTTTGGCACCGCATTATATTCTGCCTGTGAGTTAGTTTGTTAGTTTGTTAGTTTGTCCGTTTGTTAGTTTGTTTGCATCAATACGTTTCCTTAAATTAATCGCCTACAAAAAATTCCTTGCACGCGCTCGGAATTTATGAATTTATTAATTAATCGTGTACTCTCAGGATGATCGACTGTTTGCTCAGTTTTATCTCTGGTTTTATGCGTAAAACAAGGACAAAAATAGCACTGTTCAAATCAGCGTGATAAGTTGTGTTTACCGATGGAAAATTGATTTCAAAATTAACTTCTACTCTACCTATTTGTCGCCTTTGAAAGGCAAAAGCCGCTCAAAATAATCCTTCACGTTTTCCGAATTCCTTTTTTCGAGGAAAGTTTTCTTTCGAATTAATCTCGAACTTTGACGATTGACTTTTTGCTGCGACTTATCTCTGGTTTTATGCGCCCAATAAGGACAACAATACCACCGTTCGATTCAGTGTAAGAAATTATACTCACAGAAGTCAAATGTATTACTAAACTACAGTATTCTAGCGATTTATGGCCTTTGAAAGACAAGCGAAATTGTATTGTTCACAAATCGCTCCAAATTATTAAACTAATTAAAAATGCAATGCATTTGACCTTGATAACTTTCGTATTGTTGGTTTTCTCTTTTTCGTCCGTATACCAGTCGATTTGTCTCACTTTTCTCTTTATTTTGTTTGTAGTTTGAGCCCAAAATATTATATTTTGAAGGTTTTAATGGGCAGTTTTAATAAGCGAAATTGTATTGTTTACAAATCGCTCAAAATTATTAAACTAATTAAAAATGCAGTCCGTTTGATCCTTGATAACTTCGGAATTGTTGGTTTTCTCGTTTTCGACCGTATGCCAGTGAATTCGTCTCACTTTTCTCCTCATTTTGATAGTATTTTGAGCCCAAAATAGTTTATTTTGAAGGCTTTAAAACGCAGTTTTGATCCTAACGTACGGACCAACTGGCGGCCGACAGGAGAATGTATAGCGTGCTAAATTATGACTTTACTTGTGCATGTAGGCGGAAACGCCGAAAGTTTTATTCGTAGGCGGGCACCGCATTTTAGTACTGTGTCTGGTTCGTACTACTATTCGTACTAAATTGGGCCATTCCATTTAATATAGGCACCCCCCTATTGAGGGGTCCCTTCATAATCCCCTTAGGATATAAAAATTTTAGAACCCCCTTGGATGCGATTTTTGGAAGTTACCCCATGGATTTCTTTATACCCCCTTTAGGATATCGTTTTTACCCCCCTGGATATCACTAAGACACATAATTTTTGCTATTTTTTTGAAAATTTCTTAAGCTACCCTTTAGGATATTTTAAGGTAAAAATCCCCTCCCCTCCCATAGGATTTCCAGACCCCTCAATAGGGGGGGGTGCCTATATTAAATGGAATGGCCCATTACATATCTGATCAGTGAAAGGGGATGTGATGTCTTTGTATTGGGCTTCATTTCATAATTAACAAAAAGGTTTTTGGAATAAACTAAGTAAACAGCGTGAGTAGAATCCATTTTCACCAGAACTGGTTT